AAAATACGCATCTGGCATAGATTTTTCAACGCTTCCAGCAAACTTCCTATTCGACATCAACTCGCAACCAGCGCGATTACCGGTCGTTGAATTCACGCGGGTACGTGTGAACGACGTGACCAAACGCGGCCCCGATCTCACGGGAAACTTAAAGCCACTTTAAATTTAGGATTGACTTTAACACGTAGCCTGAGCGCTGGCGGCATAATCTATGCGCTCAAGTCGCATTTAAAATGGAAGCTGCTTTAAATTATATTATCCACGACGAGAAGCGGGTCAGCTGCCGCTGCAACGCGACAAATACCGAGTGCTACAAATACAGCCTTACGCTGCAGCTTACGAGAAAATTCACGGAGCAGCGTTAAATCGCGTTACACCGAAATCTTATTTCCGCCTAGCACGCGAGAGAGAGAGAGAGGAGAAGAGAGTAATGTTGTCAGTCAGCTGGTTTGTTGCATCTTCGAGGTAGGCAGGCAGGCAGGCAGGCAGGCAAGCAGGCAGGCAGGCAAGAAGGCAGGCAAGCAGCCGCCTGTGGCATTCAACGTTTGTCGAGGAGCGCTCTCGCGAGCACCGTGTTTCTGTGTCAGTGCCGGTGTAGCACGTTGAAGGAAAATGGAAGGGGTATATCCTGCGAGTGGTGGGGCAATAGCAACGGTGGTGGGAATGAGAAACCGAGAGGGGGAAGGCAACCGCACGCTGCTAGTTATACAGGGTATACCGTGATCGTCGATAGAACGTGAACTCCGTCTCGGAGTCAGTTGCACTCCGACCGTCGCGGTGGAATGTCGTCGTATCCCGGGTCGCTGTCGTCGTCACCCGGGTCGCACGTATTCACGTCGTCATCATCACGGTAGAGTAACCGCCGCGTCTGTTGTGTTGGTGATCGCTCCGTGTCTCATTCGTTGGGGATGAGCGATCGGTGCTCGACCGATTCGCGCGAGCGGATGACGAGGTCGAGGGTCGTCGCGTCGGTGTCAGTGTGAGTCGTGTTCGCCGACGGCGGGAGAATCGGATAGAGTCGGCTGAATACAAATCGGCGTGTTTTGCTTCCTTTTGCCTGTGGCGTGGCGTGGCGTGAAACAGAGTGTACAGTTAAAACAGAGTGTCGTAGCCATGAGTGCGTGACGGTGCGTTCAATCTCTCAAGCACCCGCGCGAGTATTTTCCGGCTACAGGTGCGCGATTGCGGGAACGTCATCCAGGATGGAAGCGCTCCGTCGCGTAGCGTCATGGTCACAGCCGGCGATCCTGTCGACGATCGTCGTCCTGTGCCTGACGCTGGATCATTGTACGGTGCACGGGGATAGAATCACAAGTCTCTCGCAAGCGCCGAGCGGCTGCAAGTGGAGAAAGGAAAACGATGACGCAGAAAAGGTTCTGGCATGCCAGGTCAGAACAATCGCAAACGTGCCAGATCTGATTGGAAATCTTTCGGCGATACAAGTGGACACCGTAACATCATTAGGATTGGAATGCAGTGATGTGTTATTTTTCGAAAGCCAACTCGATGATCCGCACGGCTTCCTTTCGCCGTTACCACATCTCACGAAACTGCGCGTCGATTATTGCAAGATCCGGTATTTGCCGAGCAGTGTATTCACTCCGGTACAAAATCTCCATAGTCTGTCCCTGCAAACGCACAACGGCGATTGGTCAACCATGACGCTGGAACTCCATCGCGATGCGCTTCTCGGTCTGACGAATCTACAGCACCTCGACCTCGCCGACAACAATCTTTGGACGTTACCGTCGGAACTGTTCTGTCCGGTGCAGCGTCTCGTGAGTTTGAACCTAACGCGCAACAAGTTACAGGACATCACGGCTCTGGGCTTCGCCGATTGGGCCGAGTCCTGCACGCCAAATCTCGAGATTCTCGACATCAGTAGTAACGACCTCAGTGCCTTGCCCGACGGCGCGCTCAGCAGCTTGCGTAGCTTGAGCGTGCTGAAGGTACAGGATAACGTGATCGGTTCCGTAGGTGACCATGCTTTAAGCGGCCTCACATCTCTACAAATCCTCAACATGTCTAGCAATAAACTCGTCGCACTGCCACCCGAATTATTTTCCAAAACGAAAGAGCTGAGACAACTAATACTCAGCAATAATTCTCTCACGGTATTGGCGCCCGGGCTGCTGGACAGTCTCGAGGAGCTCCAGGAGTTAGATCTCAGCAATAATGGGCTGACGAGCCTTTGGGTGAAACGAGACACTTTTTCGCAATTAACTCGTCTCGTCGTCCTTGATTTATCATTCAACGCCTTGACGAAAATCGATGCGTTTGTCTTCAAAGGTTTGAGTAGTTTACAGATTTTAAAACTTGAACACAACAATATCGATACGCTCGTCGACAGTTGCTTCGCCTCGCTCATCAACCTGCATTCCTTAACGCTTTCGCACAACAGGATCGCCAGATTCGAACCGGTGCACACGATCGGTCTTAGTGCGCTCGGACAGCTCTTCCTGGACAGCAATAGACTACGCGTCCTACATAGGCATGTGTTCACCAATCTCACGAACCTTCAGGATCTCTCTTTGAGCGGAAATGCTCTGACGGAAGTTCCTTACGCGGTCCGCGTATTGCATTCACTCAAAACTCTCGATCTAGGCAACAATCAAATGTCAAGAATCGATAATGACTCGTTCGCCGGTTTGAACGAGGTCTACGGATTGCGTTTGGTGGACAACAAGTTAGAAAATATATCGCGTGAAGCATTCGCTACTTTGCCGGCGTTGCAAGTGCTCAATCTAGCGAATAATTTCATTCGTCACGTGGAACAGAGCGCTTTCTCGAATAATCCGGTGTTACGGGTTATAAGACTAGATGGAAATCAATTGACGGAGATACGAGGCGCCTTCACGAGTCTCTCGACTCTCGTTTGGCTAAACGTATCCGATAATAAGCTGCTGTGGTTCGACTACAGCCACCTACCGTCCAGCATAGAGTGGCTGGACATACACGCCAATCAAATAAGCGAGCTGGGGAATTACTACATGGTGCGCAGCAGTCTGCGAATAAAGATGCTGGACGCCAGCTACAACCTCATCACCGAGATCAGCGATGTCAACGTGCCGGATAGTGTAGAGATGCTGTTCTTGAACAACAACAAGATACGCAGCGTGGCGGCCGGCACGTTCTTAAAAAAGCCAAATCTGGAGAAGGTGGTGCTCTACGGCAACGAAATCAGGAAGCTGGAGGCCGCCGCCCTCAGTCTGCAATCGATGCCGGAGAACAAGGAACTTCCTGCGTTTTATATCGGGGACAATCCCGTTCTCTGCGACTGCACCATGGAATGGTTGCCACGGATCAACGAGATGGCCCGGCAATCCGGTCAGCATCCGAACGTCATGGACCTCGACGCTGTCACGTGCGAGATGGTACATGTTCGCGCCACGCCGCGGCGTCCTCTGCTGTCCTTGAAGTCGAAGGACTTTCTCTGCCGATACGACACGCACTGCTTCGCGCTCTGTCACTGCTGCGACTTTGATGCATGTGACTGCGAGATGACCTGTCCCGACAATTGTTCGTGCTATCACGATCACAGCTGGTCCAGCAACGTCGTCGACTGCTCTAACGCTGGATACAAACGCGTACCGGAGCGAATACCTATGGACGCGACAGAAATCTATCTGGATGGTAACGAGCTGGGCGATCTGAGCAGTCATGTTTTCATCGGCAAGCGTCGCTTGGAGGTGCTGTATCTGAACAATAGTGGTATCATTGCGATACATAATCGTACATTCAACGGTGTCGGCGCTTTGCGCGTTCTTCATCTCGAAGACAACGCGTTACGGGAGTTACGGGGTTTCGAATTCGATCAGCTGGAGCGCATGTCGGAGTTGTATCTAGATCATAACGCGATCGCCACCGTGGGCAACACCACTTTCAAGAAGATGCGAAATCTCGAGGTGCTACGATTGGACAGCAATCGCATTGTCGACTTTCGACCGTGGGAAGCCTTGCCGAGCGTCGGTGATGGCACCAAGGTCGCATTGGAGGGCAATGCTTGGAGCTGCGAGTGCGGGAATGCTGCCAGACTGCGCGCCTGGCTCGCGGAACATCGTGGCGATCCGGAGAAGATGTACTGCCGCGACGGCGTCGAGACTCTCGCCCAAGCAATGGAACGATGCGGCGATCCATCCACGGAAGCCGTAAGTCGCGGAATCCAGGAAATCCCGCTGTTAGGCAGTAATTTCGTGCCTCTACTTGCTGGTGCTCTGGTAGCTGTGATCGCCATCTGCCTCTTCGTCGCCCTAGCCTTCGTCTTTCGTCAAGATGTACGACTCTGGGCTCACGCGCGTTACGGTTTGCGACTTGGTAAAATGACGGCGCCGCCCGATGAGGAGAGAGACAGACTGTACGACGGTTATATTATCTATAGCGAGCGCGACGAAGACTTCGTCTCTAGATTCCTTGCAGCTGAACTGGAGCAGGCTGGTTTGGCTCTCTGTTTACATTGGCGTGACTTGCCGCCGGCCAGACCGCAGGAGGCATTACCACCGGCCGCAGCCTCCGCGAGACGCATTGTGATAATCTTTTCGCCAGTGTTCCTCGCGAATGAGTGGCAGCACGTAGAGTTCCGCGCTGCTCTGAGAACGGCGCTGGAGAACATCAGGCCGACCTCGCGGAAGCGTCGAGTGGTAGTACTGCTTGCTACTGAGACGCCCACCCGAGATCCGGAGTTGCAACTGCTGCTGCAGACGTGCACAGTGGTGGTCTGGGGCGAGAAGAGGTTCTGGGAGAAGCTCAGGTTCGCCATGCCGGACTCAGTCGACAAGCGGCGCGACAGCAAGAAGGTCAACGACCGCAACCGTACGCCGACGCGGTACACCGCGGCGCCGTCCGCCGCCGTGGACGTGTGGACCAAGCCTAATGGCGTTTTGGTCGCACCGGTGCACCACGCACCCACGCCAACACCTACGCAATCTACCTACGTCAGTTCGGCATCCAGTCGTACCGAGGACGAGGACAGCGGCGCGGAGCATCAGCACCACCAGCATCATCCGCATCATCCGCATCATGGCTATAGCGCGCTACATGCCGGTAACGGCCGTCCGGCCAGTCTATCCTCGAGAGGCAGCCATCTCTACAGCACCATACCGGAACCGCCGGTGGTGCCCACCGCGCCACCCGGGGAGGCCCTCGCTCCCGCGCATCCAGGCAATCCGCGTACTTACTTTGTCTAGCGCAGAAGGGCGGCGATCGTGCTCCGATCCGGCAGGAGATAGACCGACTTCCCACCTTTTTTCTTCCGGTCTTCGTCTCGCTTCCTGTACCCGCTGGTGCACGGTCGTCCGGCCGTATCGCGACGTTTCTCGTCGGGAGAGATCGAGATGTAAAAAATTCCTTCGCTTCAGAACGACTGTGGCTACACTTGTACAGTATTTCCCAGTACTCGCGACGTATCGATTGACTGAGGCGCTTTAACTCTTCCACTTAGGGGTCGATCGCCCCGCATAAACCATTCGGCCGCGAGCGGATGATCGGTTCGCAACACGCGCGCATAATATTATATACGTACGAAATCGATTCGATGCCTTGTGCTTATTATCACAATGTACGACCGATAGATTTAACGGCTTGACTTTTCTTTCCCGAACTTAGGATATACGCAAGACGCGCGCGATCGTCACTCTTCGTTTCTTCTCGGTATCTCTTTTTCACGTTGTTGCGCAACGTTCTTCCAAATCATGACCAAATACTACCGTTTCGAAGCTCATGGAATGCAAGTTCCGAGAGAGCCGCTTTCCCTTCGTATAGATCTTGTAAATAGTGACGCGGTATGAGAATCTAGATCTTTTTTTACGCTTTGATTTAGCGAGCGAGACGTCGCGCGAAATGTAATTAAGGATCGACATTAATTTACCTGTGTATATACACATATCCGCGCTCTCTAATTTCTCGCGAATCTCCTTCGCGCGTCTCTACGCCGACTAATTTATTCGCCACGCGATGATGAATCATCGGGACCCGAAACTGGGTCGCGATCAAAAGCAACTGAGCGAATTTTACCGATTGTGTTTCATTACAATGGATAGGTCTCCAATTTAAATGTTTTGTCATCTGATCCCTTTCACATACGCGAGTTCTTTGATTTAGGACCGTCCTGTTTCGATTTGCATTAATTGTCATAACTGTCAGTAAATTCGCTAATATTTGTGGTTTGGATATACACGATGAACGCGGTGAATAATGATGATAATGGCAATAGCTAAATGTAGTACACGGACTGATGTTATGACGTACAATGCAATCATTTTGTGAATATTAATTAAATCGTATCGGTAATTTTTGTTTCTAACATCATTCACATCAAACAGCATACGCGGAACAATTGTAATAATATTTGTAACGGTGTTAGAAAAGATACAAGAAAGAATGTAAAGTGTTCTTTATAAATATTTATTTTAAATACGCTTGGATGAATGCATTTATTTTATATCGTACACGGTGATACTTTATTTTATTAACGATATAATCGTATTATGCGTTTGACAACTTAATTGTGAATATTTATATATATATATTTTTTTCGATGCTCGAAAAACGTTTCACGATATATATAGGTATATATATACGTACGAATATTGTATGAATATTACTTTCGTATTCGTTTATCCATTTGATTTCGGAACGGGCATCGAAATGCCGAAGAAACCATTTTCACGTAGTAGATTCCGAATTATTATAAAATACACGCGTGAAATTTCGTCAAGTACTCGTAATAATTTCCAACGAGATGGCTAAAATATAGATAGTACGAATATATTTTTCTTTTCGTATTACGACTCGAGAAATTTTAAGATAAAGTTCCTCGCGAATTTGACATTTCTCTTTGGGACCCGAGGCACATCCCTCTTTGCCATTCCTGTCGTTTGTTCGTCAATCACTCGCGATGAAGTGGATAACGAATCATCAAGTGTTAAATGACAAGAAAGAAAAGACAGACGTCTCGCGAGAGCTTGTTCCTAAAGATTCACGACTGTTTTGGTAAAGTAACGGTCGCATAACGCTTATTAGTCCGTAAGGGAACTCTCTGTAAATATTGTATCTAATTTTGTAAATATAATCATGCACATTTCCGAGCACACCGAAGACCAGCGCTGCTGGAACGTTACTGGTCGTGGATACGTCTTAACTATAATTGCGCGTTTAGGACTGTATAATTCTAATTGTATTGTATTATTGTAAATACGCTCATCGAATCACGCATTATATATTCACAGTCTGTTAAATACGTATTAAATTAATTGCCACTTTCCATTTCAGCAAAGAATCATGAAAATAAACACGTTTGTTTTATAAAAATCATCGCGTTTAATCAATCCCACAAAATTCCCGTTCCAATTGTAACAATGCAAAAGTAATCCGATGCGTTAATAACGCGATAACAATTAATTTATGATATACAATCAGTATTAATATAAAGGTATCTATTTTCATAATCTTCTGCACGTGATTAATATTGCCACAGATTAACACGCCACAAAAGAGGAAGATTCTCATATATTGACTCATATATTGATTAAAGGATGTATATCGTGCATTTATGTAATTATTAGCTGATCGATATATTCAATAAATGTATATTTTTGCACAATCGATAGCGTATCAATGATAGTCAAAGCTATATAGATTCGTGCATGAATGTTAGACGTATTAGATATATTATATAATATGCCGGGGATTATAATGTTAGGCGGGCGGCAACATATAAGTTCTCGGATATATCCTACCTTAGCCCGATGGATTTGTGTTCTGTGCCGCTTATACCACGACTAACGACATCGCCCTTTGGTTTATTTCCTACAAAAAAAAAGAAGTAATTCTTCCTTGTTGCAGGCGAATTCGCCGTCTCCCCGGTTAAAATACGTGCCGTTGCACTTTTTGATTATTTCTCAGATTTGCGATTGCGGTCGAGTTGAATAACGACGACAGTAATTCGAGAGGAAGACAAAAAAAGAAGGAAGGGAAAGAAAAGATAAGTACGGCGCGGAATAATTTATCGCGTAATTCCTATCGCGCAGAAAACGGGAACGCCGCCGGTGCGGCGGCGGCGACGGCGACGGTAGTGTACATGGGAATAAAACGTTAAAGGGTCGGCGACACATACGTCACGCAATTTGGATTATGATGCTTGAGGCAGCTAAAATAGAAAGGAGAAGAAAATAATTTTTGCAAATATCATGAGATTTATAAATAGATGTGAATTCCATTACGAATTCAATAACTAGACGTGGAATGAATATACGTTATAATAGCTGTCAATACCGCTGTAATAACGTATACAATCTATTTGCGGTATTTAATTGACATTTTGATATAATGTAACACGATATGAAAATTTGTAGAGTATATTTTTAATTTTTCGCTTCATCAGACTAAAATATTCGCGTTGACCAAAAAGTTACTCGAGTGAAATGCCGGTTGCGATAACTGATCTAGCAGTTCTTCCTGACTTCTCACTTCTGGTGCCGTAAATCAAGGTATACGAAGTGGGTATCACCGACCCTTAAATACAGTGCGTACGCGCACGCCGGGAACCACCTTTATCGCGGTGGTTCACCGACCGCACGAATCTTTCCACGGGGCAGCCGTGATAACGGCGGCGACGCCCCGTTCCCCCGGGAGCGCCGTCTCGCGCGGTCCTTCGCTTCACGAGAGTTTATATATTTCGGCGGCGAGAAATATTAACAACATTCCCCGAGTATTATCGCTTCCGTACGCGACCGGGGGAAAAAGTGTTCGAGATTTCTCCTGGCTTTTCCGGTCCGCATTACCGCTCCAGGTCACGCGCTTTAAACAGCGATTCGGCGACGTAAGTTAGGGCACCTCCGTCGGGAGCACTGCGAATTGCCTCTTTAAGAAAAAAAAAAGCCGAATCGGGGGCGCGAGCGAGCTCGCACGTTTCGCGCGTGCCGCGTTTCTACCGGCTAACCGTATAACGTAACGTTATCGGAGACGCATGCGGCGCGGCAGCCGGGTCGTTAGAATACCGTAGAGCGCGGGGACGCGGGTGTGCACGGGCCGGGGCCACGCACGTACTGCACACGGCTTTCAAATATTTGAATGCCCGTGGGCCACGAATGCCAGAAAAGAGCCGTACCGTGGCTAATGACATTACGACTTTAGGATGCTCTCGGGCAAATTACATTTGCCAGGCGGGCGGGCGGACGGCCAACCTGCGCTGCCCGGGTAACGGTGGCAGCAAACGGTATAACGATATGATTCGTTGATATCGAGTGAAATTGCGGCGAAGCGCGTAGACGCGTTTAATAATTAAAGTACGCGGCGCGCTAAGTGGATCGATAATTTAGTGTGCTCCACATTGCGGATCTTTCCTCACGATTTTACCTCATTTCTCGACGAATGGGTTTCGTTTTAACGAAATTAGAATACGCGCGTTCTGTCATGAATCCCGGCGGAGGGAAAGGGAGGGATATACTGTAAATTACGCTAAAATTTATCGAGAGACAAGGAATATTTTTTTTAGGGAGACATTTCGGCGGCGGCCTTCGCTCTTCGAAATTACATCTCGGTTATCCTGAAATATTTCATCTAGTTCTCTCAACGAGGACAGTGAGTCTCTGCACGTTTCCATAGAGTTTTCCTGCTTTATTTATAAGCGTCGTATCACGTCCCGCGATCTGTTTTTAGTCGCCGCGAGCTCGAATTAAGAGACGCCACGTGCGCGTCGGAACTAAACGCGCGGCGCACCTGCGACAAATCGCTGGTGTTGCGCCCGTACACCCGAAATAATTCCAATTGCAACGTAGTTGATCCGAGAGCCTATGACACAAGATCGATGCTCGTGCGCTTCTCGCCCGTTCGTGAAGGATCTAAAATCCGTTTCTAGAATAGGATCAATGCGTTCGCGTCGGGACGGAAGATAAATGAAAGAATACGTAACGATACATTTGGGAAATGGAGCAAAATGCGACAGGTAATTAAGCTGTAAATCACTTTAATTGCGCGGACTTTTTGACAAGTCTGTTTGAAGCTTTAAAGCCGTTCATTAACATATAAGATGGATTCATTAGGCGCGGAGAAGCGTGGTTTGGAAACCTTTATCAGATTGTGAATGCAGCTGGAACCACACCTTGAATTATCTCTCGGTTCTATTAAGTGCTAATAATCTGGCAAGTCGGTTGTTCATTCGACGTATCATTTTAATTTACGGTGAAATTAGTTTTTCTTCTTTATTATCCACATTTCTATTATTAAAGTATGTGATTTACTTTAGTGCAAACAAGAGTATTATAAAACTGAATTTATATAATTAATATTGTTTTATTTACGTTTATGCTTACAATTAGAAATGTGTATTTTTTTAAGACCTACGATTCTACCTTCTCTTCTTGCTCATATTTAGAATCACGCCGAATAATTCTCGGTTTAACAATTACAAAGAATTATCTCGCAACACAATCCATGATAAAATCATGCTTCTCAAGTGCTAGTACTTCCGTTGTTACCAAGAAATATCTCGCTTCTTAGCTTCGTATCTCTTTGACATACGTATTCATATGCTGAATCGAGCATTTTCGTGCACGTGAGTGTGGTTTGTGCACTGAAATACTCTAGTCATTTTGGTATGCGGCTTAACGTGTGGGCAGCCCCTCGTCTGAGTACGCACGAATATGATCCGCCACTTGTCAGTTTATCAAAAAGATTTGTGTGCTAAGCAGTACTCCGTGTGAACGGGTTTCTCGCTGCTGTTTGCCTTGAGCGCAGATATATGAATTCGTTTAATAACTATTAATTCTGGAGTAGATAAACAATAGATAATTTCTTTTTCGTCCCATAAACAATTATTCTCGATCGCGTTAATGAGAAATTTATAGCTGTCTATCAAAATTCATAAAATTTGGTAAACAATTTTTTAAAATTTTGCATAAAATTTTACTTAAGGAGTAAAAAAATTATTCAAAGAAAGTTATTATAATTAGTATTGTATAAGTTAAAAAATGTCATTTTTTATTATCTAGCTTAATTTTTACGCAAATTACATATACTCTCTCTCTCTCTCTATATATATATATATATATATATATCTATATATAAAATTTATATACATCATGTACTATATATATATAGAGAGTAATGCACAATAACTGCTACTTCTGCCACATGGCAAATTACTATGATTGAACGGAGCACCGTTTTAGGCATCGCAAAAATGCTCAAGTCAGTATGCGCCTTACCGGTTTCATCTTTTTTGCATCTCCCCGACGGAACAAGCGGAGGCGCCGGTGCATCAATCAGCCCTCGAAGGAAGAGCCGCTAATTGCACCATCCACTATATCTTGATCAATCGAACGTGGGGCGTTGGAATTAATTAGAACGATGACGTGCTTGCTCACGACGAACCAATGTAGCGTTCGGTCGTGATAGAAGTTGTCGATTCAGTTGTATGAGGCAGATACCCTATCTTAAGTGAGTAGTTTCCTTTCGCTCCGGGATCAAAAAGAAGGAATGCTGGCCAAGATAAAACAAGCAAATTGCCTCACTGACCGTCCGGGCCTATCGTTCGGAACAACTTTCTTGACAGTTAGTATAATTCCAAAATAAATTCACCGGATGCAGCGCGATAAATAATTTTTTTTAGCGACCGCGTTTTATGACCACAGATATTTCTTGATCGCGACGAGGAATATTCTGATCCCCGCGAAATTGGATATTCCGATAATAATTGAAGTTACTCTCTGGAAGCACGGGGTGAGACTAACAAAATAAAAAATAAAAAGATAAGTCTATATGTCTAAAGTTTCAAAGTACAGATTGCTCTAACTCGGATCCAAATTATCAAAAATTTCATTTATATATAATCGTCTGCGCGTAAATTAATAAATCACTCGTCAGAAATAATAACGAGCTATAGTCTTGCAGAAGTATGGTCGTCACTTTAAGATTAATTACGCAGGCATCAACGGCAACGCGACAATCGCCGGCAAATCGACTTCTTGTCTCGAAAGTCTATTACGTTCTTGCGATACTTTTTGGCGGCACGATCCCAGCCGGCTACAAACTGTTCGCATAGATAATATTTGATGATTTATCACACGATCGCGCTGAGATCCAGTGAGAGAGAGAGAGAGAGAGAGAGAGAGAGAGAGAGAGAGTCATTGCTCGTTAAAGGTACACGCAATGTTAAATAACATCGATGGATGATAACGAGCAAAACGTAAATAATAATGTCGTCGCGAATGCAACGAAGGGAAAGCCCCCCGCTTTGATTAAAAATATAAACGAGCCCGTCCACGCCGCAGACCTGTGTCAATTTCTGTGGCAATTACACCGCCGGGAGATCTCCCCGGCCACGCCGATTTTCGACAGTCATCGTCGCATCACGCTACGGAATCACGAGTTATTCCGTATTAAGTGCCCATTCTATGACTCTCGTCCCTTCCCGTCGTTCACTCCCTCTTCTTTTCTTCCGTCCTTCCTCTCCTCTACTCTCCTCTCCCTCTTCTCCCCCCCCCCTCTCTCTCTCTCTCTCTCTCTCAATCCCTCGCACATCTACCTTATTTGGACTGATTGCACCACAACGGCCATCAAGCGCGCCCGGCACGACTCCGTCACTTCCAAATCTTGACAGGACGAAGAAGTACATTGTACAACAGCCGCCAAAAAGAGGATCTTATCGCGCGATACCGTGTTTTCGGAGAAGGGGGCGTAACGTTTCTCGTGTGTCGTAATGCGCATCTCATACTCCATGAAGTTGCCCCACTGCAAAACTTCGAAATTTTCTATAATTATTGATAGCACCGATAATATTACGACACGAATGCGCTGACATGGCAACTGGG